CACACACACACACACACACACACACACACACACACACACACACACACACTAGCTGGGCGTGGTGGTGCATGCCTGTAGTTCCAGCTACTTGAGGCTGAGGTGGGAGAACCCTTTAGCCTGTGAGGTCGATGGTGTGGTGAGCGGTGATGGTGCCACTGCACTCCAGTCTGGGCGACAGAGACCCTGTCTCAAAAACGAAAACAGAAAGGAAGAGAGAAATTCTCTACATGGCTAGAAGAGAATAACCGGGCCCCTAAGCTTCGCGCCACGCGTGGCTAAAGGGCGAGTTACACACAGGAGAGTGCCCAAGGGGACCTCAAGGCGTTCCCTTGGGATAAGGTGTGCTTAAAACAGCTATGTTTTTCCTGAAAGCGCGAGGCGGAGGCTCCGCCCCAAGGGCTGCACTGCTGCCCTCGGGCAGGCAAAGCTAGGGCTGGCGTTATTAGTGCCGCTCACCAGCGGGAACTCTTTGAGGGATGCGAAGTGACAGCCCCAATATTGCACAGATGGTGCTGAGGCCAAGCGAGGTCAGGAGCCCAGAAGCCAGGATCTAGTCTGACGCAGACCTGCGGGAGGCGAGCGGTACGGAGGCGTTCCGCCTGGCACCGGCGCCTTCGCCTCTCTGTGCCCGGCCGGCGCCCCTGGGTCCGGAGCCTCCCAGACCAAGAATCTGGTCTGGGGTTAGGCTCCCAGGGACTTCCGGGAGCAGCTGGCCCCGCCCCAGGGCTCCTTCGGGCCCCGTGATTGGCACCGCGGGCCGGGGGCGGGGCTTGGGCGGGTCCGGAGCGCCGAGCGAGCGTGATGGCGTCAGGAGCTGCGGGTGCCGCTTCCTGTTGTCAGTGGCCGAGAGGCCGCAACCTCTGCTCCGAGGCTGAGGAGCTGCCGCAACCGGGAGCGCCCCCCGCCTCGCTCCCTTTTCCGTTTGGTGAGTTAGGGGGTCAAGAGGTGAGAAGGGCGGTGGAGGGTCGGCGGGGCCGAGGCGCGAACGGGCGGGTGGGCCTCCTGCTCCCCCTGCGATCCCCAGCCCTGGTTGCCCTGAGACTGCCCGGCTTCAGAGCCCTCAGCCCTGCCCAGCCTGCGCCCTCCCGGCTCCCACCCAGCCTTCCCCCCGCACTGCCGCTGCGCGCCCGTCCGCCCCGTCTGTTCCACCCCGCGCCCTCGCCCGCATCCCCTCACCAGCGGTCTTGCGTAAATGCAGCTTCACTCGTGACCCCACTATACCCCAGTTCCAACCCCGATCTCGGCCACGTCATTCGCCTCGCCCTAACACACCTCGTCCTCTCTCCCGACCCCTCTGGTAACCCCGATGCTCCGCGCTCACCTGCCGGAGACCCAGTATTCGGATTTCTCCGTTTCTGGCTCAGCTTTCTTATCCCAGTCACCCCCATCACCTGTCCAGCTCCCCAAGGTCTGCTGATCCCAAACACTCTACCTCTGCCCCCTCTCATCTAAGGCCCTCCCCCAAAGTAGGTGCCCTGTTGAGCTCACCGCTTTCTTCTGGGTAACTCCAATCTCAGCCTTATTCCAAGTCTTAACTGTGTCTTCTCGTCTTAGCCTCCTAGCCCACTGTATACTTCCTTTCCGACTCCTGCCGTACTGAGGACACCCATCCCTAAGTCTTTGCTAAACTGTCTTGAACTCTTGCTGCCTCCTTTCCTACCACCCTCACCCAATCTTGTTAAAAATGACATCTCCATGTCCTTTCACCCTCCCTGACGCCACCGCAGCTCTTCACCCCAACTCTGCGTCCATTCCTTTCCTCGACCCAACTCCCATTCAGTCTGAGAACTTGGTGCAGAGTCTCCTGCCAACTCCACCAACTGCCCCTCAACAGCCAAATGTAGGTGCTCACTCAGACTAGCAGTTAGAGACTGAGCAGCGTGACTGGTGGGCCTAGGGCCTCAGGTGGTAAATGAGGTTGGAGGAGCAGTGGGCTGTCCCCAAATTGTGGATTGGGCCGGAGGGTTTTCCTGGCGTCCAGTCTCCTGTACCTGTCTGCAGCGACTGTGTTTCTGGCATTCATATTAAATGACTTGTGCTGGCTGCTGGAATGGAAGGTATCATTCAAATACCTGGAAGGTGAGAGATGGCCACTCACTCAGCTCACTTAGCATAGGATGATGGAAGCTATCACTTCCTTCTGGCTGCTGTTCTGGCCCTGGAGAGCCTCCAGGAGGTTTCTAAAGGGTCCTAAAGAACATTGTCTCTGCTGTGGTCGCAGAACATTGTCCATGTTCCTTTTTCTGGCACTTGTAAGGGCCTCTCCCTGCCAGAGCTGATGGCAGATCACTCCTGATGCTGAATTCGGGGGACACGATGGGTGCCAGAGGCAGTGTTACCTGTTGTGAAGAGTATAGGTGAATAGGTCCTGGGGAGGCTGAGGCCTGGGTAGGTACAGAGGCTCTTGAATCGCTTTCTTTTCTTGCAAGTCATTGACTTTCGGCCATTTGGATTCCATGAACGCAGGGAACCACATTATCTCAGAGTAGCTGAGGCAGAAGGACATTCCAGAGGCACCCAAGTCCCATGCTCAACATTTATAGTTTCCTGAGGGCTTTTGGGGACACATTTTCTCTGAATCCTAAGGACCCAGCATCAGATGGGTGGGCCATTTGACCACAGTATTAAAGGGTCCTAAAGAACATTGTCTCTGCTTGCCGTTTATAGTCTTACTCCTCTGAAAACTAAATGCTGTTTACCTTCAATGTCCTTCCATTCATATGCAGGATATTTAAGTTGTTTTCAGCCTTATTGGCAGCTTGGCTTAGTGGAAGGAGGTCCACAGTGGCCCCAGCACTTAAGAGCTACATACCCCAACTTCCCAGTGTGTGAAATGGAGATACTTGCCCTGTGCCTTGTTTTCATTTTATTAATCGGTTCATTCAACAGCTTATTTTTTGAGCACCAGTGTGTGCCAAGCACTGTTCTAGGTACAATGGTGACTGGGTCAGGCAACTTTCCTGTTTTCATTCATTCAGAGTTTGGTCCTTGTTAGAATCCTCTGGGACATGGGACAAGAATATAGGGAAGGTAGGTGTTATTGGATGGAAGGAAGGAGGGAGGAAAGAAAGATTCCCAGTGTTCACTGACTCCAGCTCTGCCCTCATCCACTAGCCCTGAGTCTGGGAATCACAGGCTACAAGTTTCTTACCCTTCATCTGGTATTTAATTGCTTCAAAGCTCCAACCCCCCACCACCCTACCTGTCACAGAAATCCAGCTTTCCTGAGGTGGACAGAGGTGCTGTTTCCTCAGTCAGCACTCACATGTCTGAAGGATCAGCTGCCTTTCTGAATCAGAAGATAACTTTGTCATTCTTTTCCAATTGAAAAAACATGACTCATCAATTGGTATGGCAGCTGGATGGCTTAAAGCCAGGCTATGGCTCTGAAGAGCCAGGTACACAATTCAGGCGGTGGTGAGAAGGCCGTGGGGAGTGGCTGAGAAGTCCCTTAAGAGAAGAGGCCGCCGTTCACTGATAGTGGGGTGTTTTGAGAGTGGTGAAGCCAGGTTATCTTTCTTCTTTTAATGTAAGTCTCATCTAAGTAATTCTCTTTTTTTCTTCCTTGATATTTGTAGGAAGTGAAATTGGACATATAGAGAAGGCCAGGCAGTGTAATGAAGGAAACCAACTGGAACTGTTCCTTCCTGTGTTGGAACATTTAAGAAAGTATAGCTCTGAGACTTTGGGAGCATTGGTAGGACCTGGGTTTGGCTGGTTGGGGCTATAAATCTGATCAGCAGAACTGTTTCTTGTTGGTTTTAGACCTTCTGTGATAAAATGGAGCTTCCAAGTACCTCTGAGGAGGAAGTAATAGTTTGCTTGAAATTCTCTGAGCCAAAGACCTGAGGCCGTTTGGTCCAGGGAAAGATACAAGAGTTGGGATGAAGAAACCAGACAGTTCTGTCCCTTACCTGAGGCCCATTGCTACTGAACCTCAGTTTTGCCCATGACCCATGACATAGTCCTGGGAGATCCCGAGAACAGGTGCCCAGTGTGATTGAGTTACAGCTTGCTTTTATCCAAGGTACTGGCAGAAGTTACAGGCAAAGACATAAATTAGTACATGTCAGGTATACATTGGTAGGGGCAGGGTAAGGTCAGTTAAAAGATTTCCTGATTGGCAATTGGTTGAAAGAGTAAAACTTTGTCTAAAGAGTTGAAGTCAGCGGAGAGAAATGTTTGGGGTTAAGATAAGGTGGGTTGTGGAAGCCAAGGTGTGGATGAAGCCTTCAGGTAACAGGCTCCAGAGAGAATAGATAGTACATGTATTTTGTCAGACCCTAAAAGGTGTGGGACTCTTAGTTAAATCTCTCCTAGATCAGTAAAAGGCCTAGAAAGGGAAGGGAATCTCTGCAGGATATAAATTTTCCCCACAAGAGATGGCTTTGCAGGGCCATTCCAAAATATGTCAAATAAACATATTTGGGGGTAAAATACTTTCATTTCCTTTAGGGCCGGTTATCTCTCATGTGATGTTAGACCAGAGTCAGGTTGGAGTTGGTATCTTTATTGCTAAGAGTCTGTCCTGTGAGTCTCAGAATTCTGTTTTAATGTTAATGCTGGTCAGTTGTGTCTAAGCTCCAGAAGGGAGAGGCTATCATGAGGCATGGCCCATGCCCCACTTCCTCTCATGGCTTGAACCAGGTTTTTAAGTTTTTTCAAAATCCCTTTGGCCAAGAGGGAATCCATTCAGGCAGTTGGGGGGTGTAGAATTTTATTGTTGGTTTACAGCACTCACTCAGGAATTGGGG